CTGCCCCATAGGGTCTCCAAGGAGCAGCTGGTGGATTCAAACTGCTAACCTTCTGGTTAGCAGCTGTAGTCCTTAACCACTGCACCACTTGGGCTGATAGGCATTAGTGTTTGAAATGTTGCATCTTACAAGATAAGAGACACTAAAAGTGTCCCCATAGGAGATAGGGATCAGAGGCAAGCTTCTGCTTAGAGCAAGGACCTTGGGTAAAGCCCTCCTGTCTTGAAAGGAGCCTAGGAAAAAGGCTGCTGCAGAACTTTCTGGGAGATATAGTTCCTGTGTGTTGCAGCCCTAGGTTGGTGTGGAACATAAACACAAGAAGCAGAAGCAATGCCAAGCCATTCCTGCTGACTTTTGGTGACTGAATCTGCCATATTTCCAGTGTTCACCAGTTCCTGTACTAAAGATGTAGGTAGAGGCAACTTTAAATACCACCACACAGGGAAATATGAGCCAATGGGATTGGGGGTGGGGGTGGGGGTGGAGAGAGAGAAAATCAAAAATTTCCTCCTTAAATTGAACCTACAAATTTCAAAACACATGAAGAAATCAAACGCTAAAAATGATATTAAAGAAAATCAATTTGAACTTGAATTCACTCCAGGTGCAATGATTTTATATAACAGCCAAAGATTTAAAAATAAGCATATTGATAATGTTCAAAGAAATAAATAAACATTAAAACAGAACAAGAAGTTATAAAAACAGAATAGGCAGGTATAAAACAGGTGGATATGAACAAAATTAGAAATCTTCAAAATAAAAAATACATTTATTGAAATACTGTATTAAAAAAATTTAGACTAGATAAGGTCCAGAAGTGAATTTATGAATACAAGTTACTTGTGAGAAATTCAGAATCGTCAGTAAGACAAAACAATAACAATTATGAAAAATCAGTTAAGAACCATGGAAGACAGATTGAGAGAATGCAGCATTAATCTAATAGAAATTTTTGAAGAAGAGAATCAAAAGAACGGGATAAAAAGCAGTATTTGAAGAGATAATTTGCCAATAATTTCCTAGCATTAAAGACAGACATAAGTTTTCAGATGGAAATTATATTCAAAGTACCAAGCAGGAAAAATAAAACTAAATTCACACCTAGACATATCAAAGGGAAAAGCAGAACATTTAGGTTAAAAAAAATCTTGACACCTACCAGAGGAAAAAAAATGTTATCAAAAACAAATGGTGACAGAATTCTCATCAGCAACTATGAATGCCAGAAGACAATGAAAAAAACATCCTCAAAGTGCAAATAAAAATCATCCTCAAACTAAATTTTTTTACCTAGACAAACTATCATTCAAAAGGAAATAAAAAATAAGGACATATGTAGATTAAGAGGATTACTAAGAGACCTATTAAAGGTTTCACTTTTGTAAGAAAACTTGGGATACAATAAACAAGAGAACACAGAAATTCATAAGCTGTGCAGGAAAAGTCAAGCAATCCTTAATAATAATAATAATACATTGGTTTTATTTTTTGAAAAACTTTTAATTTGAACCACAATAACCACACGGTGACAGGTTAGTGTTTGATAGGTACTTAAAACACGCTAACACCATGTTGTAGCTGAAAGAAGGATAAAAATTCTGAATAACTGTAGACTTTGTTAGAAATGTATAGTTAAGAATATATCAGAGACAATGGGTTATCCATACGCAAACAAAAAATAATTAAATTTCTACTTCACAGCGTATATAAAGATCAGTCCTAAATGAGACAAACTAAAGACCCAAGTGTGACAAAATTCGACAATTTTTATAAGAAAATACCAGAGACTATCTTCATGATATCCAGGTAGGGAAGGATTTCTTACATAACTCACAAAAGCAAAGCTCATAAAAAGATTGATAAATTCAACTACATTAAAAAAAACTTTCCATATATAAAAATACACTATCAATAAAATGAAAAAAATATAAGTCAGAGTCTGGGAGAAGATACTTGCAATGCATATGAATGACAAAGTATTGATATTCGGAATAATAAAGAACTAGAAATCAATTAGAAAGAAACCATCCAACAGAAAATGTACAAAGGATATAAAAAGTAAATTCACAGAAGAAAAAACAAAAATGGCTAACAAACATATAAAAAGATACTTAACCCCATTAGTAATCATGGAAACATGTATTATAATAACAATGCGATATCATTTCAAGACTATTGCAATGACTGGTAGAAATTTGTAAGTCTGACAATTCCAAGTATTAGGGATGCAGGAAAATGGAAACTCATATGTTACCACTGGAAGTATAAATTTGTCCAACTACTTTAAAAAACAATTGACCATTATGTAGTAAATTTGAAGGTGCATATAATCAGCATTTCCTCTCCCAGGTACCTACCCTAGAGAAATTCCCATACATACGAACAGGCGATATCAAAATAAATGCTCTTAGCAGCACTGTTTGCAGCTATAAAAAATTGGAAGTAATCTAAATTATCATCAATAAAATGGATTTAATCATGCGTGGAATACTCTACAGCAGTTAAAATGAATGAACCAGAGCTATGTCTATCAACACGAGTGAATCTCTACAATATAAAAATTAGTAGGGCAAAAGTCACAGAACAACATTTATAGTATAACACCACTTACAGGAATTTGTAAAACAGTATCAGTTATATTTTTGAATACATAAATATTGGATTAATGACTGTGGTTACCCTTAGGGAGAAGGGAGAACAATGCGACTAAGGAGGTATATAGTGAATTGTCAGGTATATCTGTAAATTTTTTAAAAATGGGGAATCTGTAGCATAGATGTCATTATGTTGATATGATAAAACCGGGGTTGTCCGGGGTGGGGAGGGGCAGTCAATGACTGTTCTTTATATCTCTACTCTTCAGTGTATATTTGAAATTATTCACAATAAACAAAACAAGATTTTAAAGGAGATACTACACGGATTGTTGAGAGCTTCAAAATGCTCAGTCAGGACTTTGGAGTGGCAGCATCAGGCTGCAGTTCTGTGCTGAGGGGGTCTGATGAGGAGTGCAGACCCGTCAGTACCTCCCACTTGCAGCCCCAGAGAGGTGGCAAGGTCACTGCTAGCTCGTACAGCTTCTGGTGATGTGGGGGATGGGGATGAATTTGATACTGAGGATGGTTAACATCAGTTAACTTTTGACATGGAATAGAGTCATCTAGGTAATACACGGTTTAACAGTACTTCCTAACCTTTCCAAACCATGGCACACATGGATATTTGTATCCCATGCTGAAGTACAGGCAACCAGCCTGGGGGCCCCAGCTGCGCAGGTCCTACATGTTGCCCTGAGAACTGTGGAGATTGGTATCTCAGCATATGTGTAGCCCACCTGCAGTATACAGTCTGCTGCGACACACCGCTTGGGAAGCTCTGACCCAAAAGATATTCTTTTCTCATCTAAAAGGAGGGAAAATTATAAACCACTCCCCTTCTGGCAGCATTTAGCATTTTGCAATCACAAACTTGTTCAAAAGGAGTGCATTGAGAGTCGCAACTACGCTGCCTGAATTTGCATAGTAGCACTTAGGAGCAGAAAGAGCTAGCACGAAAGAAATGCTGTTAACAGTCCGAAAGTTTACTTTTAAAGCAAGTGAAGACAGACCAAGAACCCTGTCCAGTTCATACTGCAGCATAATGTCAGGGAGTGACCGGATGAGACTGGGATGGGTCAGCGCATGTGGAGTAGAACAGGCAACAGTTATAGAAGGAGAGCAACTGAACAGGGACAGGATGGCTCTTTAGTGAGGAGGCATTGGTAAGTTATGCAAGTGAGTCACTCTTGTTACGCCAGCCCATGATTGAGAACTTCTATATATGTGAGTCAATTACACAGGTCATTCTAAGAGGTGGATTAATTTCTTCCCAAACTTTGCTCTTGTAAAGTCCCAAGTTGAAAGAACTCTACCAGGTGGAAATATAATAAGGTGGATACACTTTACATCTGCAGTCACCATACTATACCTCAGTTAGGTAGACTAACCAGGCTTTGTGCTACGATAACACCTACAGAGGGCAAATTCTCAATCTTTTTGTAAGTGAGCCAACTGGCCCCCGAACACAGCATCACAAGCTTGGTTGAAGGCAAGGTTGACATGGGACAGCCATCCAGGTTAAAATATTGAAATACTCCGAGTCCCACCAACGCTGCCCGATGGTCACTCTGCCACACTAGCCCCTCCTCCAGGATCCTATCTTCCCACAGTCTGGCAACAAAAGTTTTAATGCCTGGAACAGCAGGGATACCAGGCTGTTAAATATTTTGAACATCACCCATGGATGAAGAGGAACCACTGTGCCCACTCGTGAATGCTCACTAACCCTGCTGGTACTATTATCCCCTTGGGTCCTAAGAGAGAACACCATCTCTTGGCTGGTTTTGCTTCAAGTTCTCAAACCAAAGTAAAATACCTCTCTGGTAAAACTAAACTGCTCAGCCTCTCACTAGGCTAGATACCAGGCCTAGGGGAAAGAAAAGACCTTTTAAATCCCATGACCACAGCTTTGGGGTATTTCATCTTCCCTTGAAGGTGAAAAGCAAGAGTCATCCTGACCCTCAGCACAGCAGACCTGGTCACTTTATCAGATGGGCCCTTCATCATGAGCCGTACTTCCTTCATTCTATGCCACTGCAAGGCAGCTTGCCCATTCTCTATTAATTTAAAACTTATTTCTCAGGAGACCAGAACACTTGACACTTAAATCCAATGAGTGTTTTGGGGGAACCTGGCCCTAGGATATGCAGTGGCATCCAGAGGATCAGCCCTGCCATTTACAGAGTCACAGAGCAGGCAGCAGAGAGCTGGGAGGTACAACAGAAACCTCCCATGGGACAGAAGGCTGAGGGGAGAAGGGGAGTTCATGGTGCAAGAGTTCTGCTGTTCATTCAGGGAGTCAAAGGAGGAGGGCAGGAGTTGCATTTGGAGAGGCATCCAGACATTTCTCCGAGAAATAAGGGAAAAGCCAAAGCAGAACCACCGAGTGCACCTACTCACCAGGGCTGGTTATTGTCAGGAGGTCAAGTTGTCGCTGTTGCTGCAAAAGAAAACACATTGTGAGAGCACTGATTTGAGCCAGAGCCAAACGTGCACTTAGCAGATCAGGACGGACATGCAAAGCGCCTGTTCAGATGCAAAAAGCGGGGTAAACTGTAGAGAAGGTGGTGTTCACTCACAATTCTACAGAGAGGCCTTGCACCCTAGAGACAAAGGGGAATGGATGGCCTTTTTATTTGGTCCTTGGAAGCACAGATGGTCAGAGCCGAGAGGGCCTTAAAGGTCTCTAATCAGACCTATATTATACTGAGGGAAATTGAGGCCCAGAGAGGAAGATGACTTACTTAGGGCCGCAAAGAAAGTCCCATTCCTAACTCCCAGCCTTAACCAGACAGCCTTAGATTCGTCTTTGCTCACACTGGCAGTGCTGGTTCTGTGTCTGATATATTGGCAGCCCTCTTTACCTTGGTCCCTGGGCCATTGTCACAATTCTGATACTCCTTGTGACCAAAATATGCCTGAGTTGGTTTATTTGAACCTGCTCAGCAAGGCTGTGACAATTTCAGTTCCTGATAACCAAACCATTCCTTCTCCAACTGAATCCCCATCTCTTTTTACCACACAGAATTCAAAGAAAATAATATTTGTCTAATCACACTAAAGTAAATGAATGAGACTACTTGTATTTGGAGGCAACTGGCCTTGGCTAGTTTAAGGGCTGAGGTGACCAGTATCTCAGCAGGCCTGTCCTCTCTCACAGCACACCCACTGGGAGGCTCTGTCCTAGACTGAATGTCATAGGAACCTGAGTGTGGAGAAGTGGGCACAGGAGCCTGAGTGGTGGGCAGCAGTGAGCAACTCCCTTAGAGACACAAGTCAGGATTCCTTAAGCCTCAATTTTCCTGCTGACCTTTTTCTCTTTCCTACACTTGCTTTTCCATAAGTAGTGCAGGAAGTCTGCATTAAAAGAGGCCCAAACAAATTCCACTCTGAGCACAACTGCCTCAGGTCACCTTCTTGCATTGCAGGATCTTCTGATCACCTAGTGCTTCAACCAGCAGATCCCTTGCCAGATTTCACCTCAACTTCATTTCCCTTCTTATTTTGCCTCTGTCCAAGAATGGCTTCCTGAAATTCCGCTTGAGCAGAAAGGGCAAGGGAGTAACATTTTTTGAGTAGCAACTATAGGACAGGCACAATATTAGGAACTTTGATGTATCATTTCATTTCATACTCTTGGCAATCCTACAGGGTAGGTATTGTACAGAGGAGAAACATGAGGTTCAGAGAAGAGAAATTATCTGCCCAAGACCATATTTTCCTTGAATGGCAGAGCCAGGATTAGAGTTTAGTCGGTTCTAATCCTGGCTCTAAAGCCCCAAATATGACAATGCACATACATTACCTAACATGATACCTGTTACTTAATAGAAGCTCAATAGTAAGAGCTATTTAGTATTGACTTTATTATTATTATTTTATTATTGCATATTATTATGTGGCCTTTGGGTATGTACTTCTTTCTTCCTTTTTCATATAATCATGGATAGTTGGAGTTCAGAGATCATTGAGTCTGATCTGACACCAGAGCAGGAATCCCCTCTGCAAAGTCCCCACCAGCTGTATGAACCACTTCGGTTTCATTCCTTTTCCTGATTGGGAGCTCACTACTTCTTACTGGTTGGACAGCTCTATTAAACAGGGTTGAAAGCTGCTGCGGTATGCTATCACCACTGTTGTCTAGCTGCCTCAGCCCACGACAATAGTTTGGGATGTGAGGAAGATCAGTGTCTTCTCTCCAAGCTGAATGGTCCCAGTTCTTTTGCTCTTTCCTCATAGGACTTGGTCTCAAATCTCTTTGTCCTTCTGGTCACCCTCCAAAAACTTTGATTTGTTCTAGTTAAAACCTCTAAAGATCTCTCTAATCTCTCTACCCCTTGCTTCAATGACTTCTCATGGGCCTAAAAGCAAATATGTATCCTTTTAGGACCCTCTCAATTGCATATCCCTGTTTTCTTGCCAGCTCATAACTTGTTCCAGTTGACATTTTCAAGCAAACAATGCAACTCCAAGATGCCACTGACCTACATTGTGAGCACACATCCTCACGCTGAAAAGAAACACACACCCACACATGTGGGCTAGAAGGAACGCTGGAACCAGGCCACCTTCCTTCCCAAACACTGAACCAGGCCAAGAGTCCAATTGGCTCAAGCTGCCTTTACCAAGGCCAACCTCTGTGGCTTGGCACTTTCTTTATACATGAAGGGAGAATCTAATGTGTCCTTCTTCTTTGCCACAAGCCTGAGTTTTTGATGATCTCAGTTGGTGAAGGAGGTCTATTTACTTGAAAAGTGTCTCCTTCCTAATTAAGGTGATGCCTCTGTACCCAGAGTCCACTAGAGAACAAAGACCCTGCCAGGAGTCAGGCAGGCTGAGCTTGTGTCCTTGCTCCTCTGTGTGGCTTTAGATAACTTACTGTATGTCTCTGGCTTCAGACTTCACCACTTTTAAATGAATGAATGAGAGTGAAATACCCTTAGTGACCCTTTGAGTCAAATGCCACCAAGTACTGTGTTTGTGGGTTCTCTGAAAACCCATTAGCCAGGACACTAGAGGCTCAGACGGTAGAGTCAGAAATTAAAAGGGACTATTCTAAGCAAGGAAACACTGGTAGTGTAGTGGTTAAGAGCTATATCTGCTAACCAAAAGGCCAGCAGTTCAAAACCACCAGGCACTTCTTGGGAACTCTATGGGCCAGTTCGACTCTGTCCTATAGGGTCACTATGAGTCAGAATCGACTCGATGGCAATGGGTTTGGGTTTTTTTGTTTTGGTTTATTCTAAGCTATCTTCTCACACTGCAATTATCTATGCATGTGTGAGTCTTCTTCACTAGACCAGGATCCTGGAACATCTATTATTCATATTAGTTACTTCAGTCCATGGCATAGAGTAGCACTCAATAAGCATTTGCTAAACTCAAAGGTATGCATCAGGGTTGTATCCTTTCACCTTACTTATTCAATCTGTATGCTGAACAAATAATCCTTGAAGCTGAACTATATGAAGAAGAACATGGCATTAGGATTGGAGGAAGACTCATTTACAACCTGCAATATGCAGATGACACAACCATGCTCGCCAAAAATGGAGATGACCTGAAGCACTTACTGATGAAAGTAAAAGAATACAGCCTTCTATATGGACTACACCTGAACATTAAGTAAATGGAAATCGTCGCAACTGGACAGTAAACAACATCATGATAAATGGCGAAGAAATTGAAGTTGTCAAGGATTTCATTCTACCTGGATCACAATCAACGCCTATCAAATCAGCAATCAAGAAATCAAACAACACATCTCATTGGGAAAATCTACTGCAAAATACCTCTTTAAGTTTTAAAAAGCAAAGATGTCACTTTGTTGAGTAAGGTGAACCTGATCCAAGCCATGGGTTTCAATCACCTCAAATGCATTTAAAAACTGGACAATGAATTGTGGTGTTTGTAAAGAATATTGAATATACCATGGATTGCCAGAAGAACAACAAATCAGTCTTGGAGGAGTTCAGCCAGAATACTCCTTGGAAGTGAAGATGGCAAGACTTTGGATTGGTTACTTTGGACATGTCATCAGGAAAGACCAACTCTAGAAAAGGACACCATGTTTGGCAGAGGGACGGCGAAAATGGGGGAAACCCTCAGTGAGATGGATTGACACAATAGCCACAAAAATGGACTTAAACATACCAGTGATCATGAAGATGGCACAGGACCAGGCAATGTTTCATTCTGTCATACTTACATAAGGTCGCCATGAATAGGAGCCAACTCTACGCCAAATAATAACAACAACAAACTCAAATGAACCATCCTGAATACATCCCTTTCAAATCCTCTTGCCTTCGCTCTTATTGTCCTCTCTGCCTAACCTCTTGTAATGTTCTTGGAGATTCCTTTCACTTCTCAAGACCTTTGTGACATCTTCTCTGCATGCCAATTCTCAATCCCACCCCTCTCTTTTCCTTCTTCAAAACAGAATGAGTATTTCACACTTCGTTCTTCAATGCATTGGTAAAATCTATCTTTTCCATTATACTCTGTCATGTCTATTTCCTTGATCATCTCTCTCATTAGGTCCTTACTTGAGGACAGGACTATGGCATTTCATCTCTATGCTTCCAGTGCCCAGCACATAGTCCTGAAAGGAATGTTTGATGTCATCTACTTCAAATGACTCAATCATTATTTCTTCCACAATGACTCTGTTAAATAGGATTTAATCAACATGAAAAATAAGCATGCCTCTTCCTCTGCAGGACTTTTCCTCTGCCACGTATTTGTGGTTTCTTGCCTTTATGTTGTTGCTTCCACAATTTCTGCAGCCACCTCCTTTAGGTCTTCCTTTCTTTACTCCAGCCGGCAGGATCACTGTCTCTCCTGGACTCCAACAGATCCTACTGTCTGCAGCATCCCTGTAGTAATGAATCAAATCTAGCCTGGTGACAAGCCCATTTCACCTATAGTTCATTGACATATGTATGTATCACCTAGTGGCATAAGCAGGTTAAGTGTGGGCTATTGTTTTAACCTATACATCATAAGATAGGATTGCAAAATCTGGGCATACTATACGCAAACAAAAACAAAAGAATATGTTCATGAATCACTGTATTACAATTTTTAGCCAAGAAACTGAAATATGCAAAATAAGTCCCTCAATTATTCAAAATTAAATTAATTATTTAAAAATAAAAGGAATTACATGAAAATGAAAATATTCATTACTAAATAGCCTACCTAGCATAATTATTTGGTATTGCCAATGGAAACTGTATGGCATTTGTAAAAATAAGGTGCATAATTTGTGGAATTTGACCAATAATGTATAAACAGTTATATAGAGAAGGGGCATGTTGGCATAAACATTTACCTATACTATAATTAGTTAATGACAGAAAGAGATAATGGCCTTTTGTATGGAGATGGCAGGTTTGGTTGGCTAACAGGGCAGGCTGACTGACAGCTGTACATAAG